AAACAGGCATCAACGGCTCAATCTTATCTCCCCTTTCCTGATCTATTTCCTTCTGCTTTTTTGCTGGCATGTGTGCCCAGAGCTGCGCATGACCCAGTAAAGCTGTCAAATATGATTGAGAAACAATGACTTCCTGGTCCACACTTTATCTGGGAAGAGGACGCTGCCGACAGCATTGTTTTCTGGGTAGCCAACATCCTGGACAGCAGGATTTGTCTAATTGCCACCTTGGAAAGCACCACAAGACCTTGGTTACGTGGTTAAAAGTCTTTGGCAAGAACTTGGTGGCTATGAGATTTAAAAAAAAAGAAGAAGAAGAAGGATTTGCAATGTGAATGTACTTCATTCTTTTTTTTTTTTTTTTTTTTAAATAAAAGGTTTTCCCTTACGGGCTTTTTTAAATAGAGAGATTTCGCTATAGGGCACATGCACTTGCCAGAGAAAGAGACAGAGATACAGAAAGTAAGAAATCACCCCCTAGGTAGGAAGGCCACACTACAATCCCTTCTCCTCAATTCTCCTCTTGGGATTTTGGGCATGTATACACATGTGCCTGGCATGAATTTTAAGCTGTCAGGTCCAGGACCCGAACCACAGTTGACTAGGTGGGAGTCTAGCGATGTAATCATTATGCCATCTGCTGGCCCCCATCATTCTTGTTTTCCATCACCTCTCATGCATCTCCCTTTCCTTTAGTGTGATACTAGATCCCACAGCTCCAAAAGACAATTCAGCTTTTAACCAGATGTTTGTCATTGGCTTAAATGAGTTGGCAGACCCGGACCTGGCGGCTTAAACTCACGCCGGGCACGTGTGTGCGGGCGTGCCCAAGATCCCGAGAGGAGAATGGAGGAGAAGGGCTTGTGGCGTGGCCATCCCCCCTGGGGGGGGATTTCTCACTTTCTATCTCTCTGTCTCTCTCTGTCTGCCTGGTGAGCGCACGCGCCCTATAGCGAAAACCTCTCCAAAAAAAAAAAAATGAGTTGGCAGACCCGGACCTGGCGGCTTAAACTCACGCCGGGCACGTGTGTGCGGGCGTGCCCAAGATCCCGAGAGGAGAATGGAGGAGAAGGGCTTGTGGCGTGGCCATCCCCCCTGGGGGGGGATTTCTCACTTTCTATCTCTCTGTCTCTCTCTGTCTGCCTGGTGAGCGCACGCGCCCTATAGCGAAAACCTCTCCAAAAAAAAAAAAATGAGTTGGCAGACCCGGACCTGGCGGCTTAAACTCACGCCGGGCACGTGTGTGCGGGCGTGCCCAAGATCCCGAGAGGAGAATGGAGGAGAAGGGCTTGTGGCGTGGCCATCCCCCCTGGGGGGGGATTTCTCACTTTCTATCTCTCTGTCTCTCTCTGTCTGCCTGGTGAGCGCACGCGCCCTATAGCGAAAACCTCTCCAAAAAAAAAAAAATGAGTTGGCAGACCCGGACCTGGCGGCTTAAACTCACGCCGGGCACGTGTGTGCGGGCGTGCCCAAGATCCCGAGAGGAGAATGGAGGAGAAGGGCTTGTGGCGTGGCCATCCCCCCTGGGGGGGGATTTCTCACTTTCTATCTCTCTGTCTCTCTCTGTCTGCCTGGTGAGCGCACGCGCCCTATAGCGAAAACCTCTCCAAAAAAAAAAAAATGAGTTGGCAGACCCGGACCTGGCGGCTTAAACTCACGCCGGGCACGTGTGTGCGGGCGTGCCCAAGATCCCGAGAGGAGAATGGAGGAGAAGGGCTTGTGGCGTGGCCATCCCCCCTGGGGGGGGATTTCTCACTTTCTATCTCTCTGTCTCTCTCTGTCTGCCTGGTGAGCGCACGCGCCCTATAGCGAAAACCTCTCCAAAAAAAAAAAAATGAGTTGGCAGAATTGATCAGAGAAGGGGGGGATGATCTGAAAAAAGCCCCAAAATACCATTGATCCATGTACAAACATTATCTCTTAATCTTCACAACATCACTATGAGATAGGAAGGTTATTCTCATTTTAAAATGCAAAGAAACAGGCTCAAAGAGATGCACTTACCCGAGGTCACCCAGCTCCCTCAGCTTCTGAATGCAGGCTCTTGTTCTCAGTAAAACCAGAGCCTTCACACACTCAGGACCCCAACTCCTCTTGTCTTCACGCAGGCTGCTCTGTTTCTTATGCCTTCAGTGCATTTCCACCTCTTCCTCGGCTGGGTTCCTCTCATTGGTGTCCAGAGAATCTCTAAGACTTCTCAGTACAGAGATTAAAGATTAAAGCCCCTTCTTTGCCTCTCTATCTCCATTTATCTGATCAGAGCCTTCTCGATTTCTCTTCACAGACAGATGTTTGAAAGCCTCGTCTCCATGCGCGGCCTCTCCCCTCCTGCCCCCACTCCCTGTTTAATCTCCCATCTGGCTTCTGCGCCTCTCTGTGTTCAGCACGGTTACTTTTTTGACATCCATTCCTCTTCTCTTTGCAACTAACCTGATTTTCATCGGACCGTCTGCATCTACCTGACACCACTGAGGTGCTCTCGAGGGATCTGACTCCCCCTTGGACTCTAGGTTTGTCAAGCTCTGAATGTGGGACTCAGCTAAGCACATTATCACATTTCCTGGTTATGGTTACACTGGTTCTTGATAACCATTAAGGGCAGGGCACATGACCCCAGTGGAGCCCAGAAGACACAGGAAAAGCTTGCCGGTTGTTCAGGGGAAAGAAGCCTTCTCATTTCCCTGAGAGTTGCTGAAGTGATCACCCCAGATTTGAGTGAGAAAAGTATGAATCCTGGGAGCTTTTGGCACCATCTTGGGTGGTAGGTTGGGGAACAGGGGACCCTTTTTTTTCTTCTTCTTTTTTTTTTTTTTTTTAAAGGTTTTTGCTACAGGGTACACACGCTTGCCAGAGATAGACAGAAAGCGAGAAATCACCCCCTGGGGGTGTGGCCACACCGCAATCCCTTCTCCTCCATTCTCCTCTCGGGATCTTGGGCACGCACACACACACAACTGGTGTGATTTTAAGCCACCAGGTCCGGGATTCAAACCGTGGTCAACTACATGGGAGTTCAGCGACATAGCCATTACGCTAACTGCTGGTCCCAGAACAGGGGACTCTTAGGATGAAGCTGACACTTAAGGAAGCAGGGTGAAGGGACAAAAAGATTCCAAATGCTTCCCAATGTATAGTCTTCAATTTAGACCTTGTTTCTGAGTTGCAACAGTCATGAAGACAGTTTTACTAGGATGGCTAGTTACCCAACTCAAATCAGGTTATCTCACCCAAGCACTACAAAACCAAACCATAGGCACATGGTGTGATGAAGGAAAGTACAGCTTTATTGCAAAAGCTCAAATCAAGGAGAGCGGGCAGCTCATACTGAAAAGACCTGGTCTCCCAGAGATGTTCCCCACATGCATTTTTAAGGGCAAAATTACGGGCAGAGGTCCTAGGCGCATGATCAGTTCAGTGACTGGTTCAAGAGGACATGATCATCTCATGGGTATTCTTGGTTGGTGAGGCCTTAGATAATCACATTTCTCTTTAGGTGTTTGGAGCCATCCAGCCTGGAGTCTTTGAGCTCACAACCAGCAGTTTCCAGCCTACAAAACATCTTACATATTGAAATGAAAACTTTGTCTTTCCTTTAAGTGAGAGTTTTAGAGGTCAAATGGCCCTCATTCATGGTCCATGTTGGTCATTATCATAACCAAAGTCTGAAGACTTGCTCCATACTCTGAGTCAGTACAATGTAAATGGTCCTTATATTTCAAGAACTTTAGAAAATACATTAGGGGGTCCTTGCTCGGTTTCAGCCTCACAGGAACCTAACTGACTATATTAGAATTGCAACACAGAATAAGCTGTTCACAAAATTTTTGAATGAATAAATGAGGACTAGGTTTAAAAAATAGATATGTATTAAATTATAATGCCCTTTGATAGCAAATAACACTATCATAACTCAAACTAATTTGACTAAAAAGAGGAATTTAATATGAAACAACTGAGGTGTCTCAACTAAACTTGAACTTATAATTTGGACTTTGGCTTCTGATGCTGTCAGAACTCTCTTCTCTCTATTCTCCTCCTTCTTTGTGTGCAACTATTTCATTTTCTTCTCTATGAAACTGAGCATGGGCCCTCTAATGTATTTCCTAAGGTTCTTGAAATATAAGGTTCATTTACATTGTAATGGCCCAGAGTAAGGAGTAAGTCTTCAGAGTTTGGTTATGATAAAGACCAACATGGACCATGAATGAGGGCCATTTGACCTCTAAAACTCACTTAAAGGAAAGATAACGTATTTATTTCAACAGGTAAGATGTTTTGTAAGATAGAAACTGCTAACTATGAGCTCAAAGGTCACAGGTTGAATGGTTCCAGAAACCTGAAGAGAAATTTGATTATCTAAGGCCTCACCAATCAAGAATGCCCATGAGGGAACCAGCAGTTAGTGTAATGGCTATGTCGCTGGACTCCCACATAGTCAACCGCAGTTTGCGTCCCGGACCCGGTGGCTTAAAACTCACGCTGGGCGTGTATGTGTGCGTGCCCAAGATCCCGAGAGGAGAATGGAGGGGAGGGGATTGCGGCGTGACCATCCCCCCTGGGGGGTGATTTCTCGCTTTCTGTCTCTATGTCTCTGTCTGTCTGGCGAGCGCACGTGCCCTATAGCGAAAATCTCTCCAAAAAATAAATAAAGAAAGAATGCCCATGAGATGATCATGTCCTCTTGAACCAATCACTGAACTGATTACACGTCTGGGACCTCTGTCCCTAATTTTGCCCTTAAATGCATGTGAGGAACATCTCCAGGAGACTGGGTCTTTTCAGCATGAGCTGCCCACCCTCCTTGCTTTGCGCTTCGCAAAAAAGCTGTACTTTCCTTCACCACGCCATGTGCCTATGGCTTGGTTTATAGCACGTGGGCGAGTGAACCTGATTTGAGTTTGGTAACAGTTATTGGCAACCCAGATGGGACTAAGGTCCTGCGTGGGCGTCTCGCCCAAGGTACAACAACCCTTGGCCGATGGCCACCCTCAGAACTGTCCTGCAGCTGCCTGAGCACCTTGTCTCAGGGACAGTCCTGGGTGATTGGCCACCGACCAGGTGCGGTTGACCCACAACAATTTTAGTTTTGTGGTGAAGGAAACACGACATTGGATTAGACTGGATTTGGTAGATGTCTGATAAGTTGCAGGACTCATGTGTGACGACACCAAGGCCTCTCTTTACCTGTGTATATTTGGTTTCTGTTTTGACAGAATGTTTGGTGGGTTTTCCTCCATTTGGCTAAAGGGTAGCTATTTGGTTTCTGCTTTGACAGAACGTTTGTTTGGTGTGATCTCCCCCTTCGGATACAGGAGCAAGAAGCCTTGAGAGACCGTCTGGAAATTTGGTAACTTGTAAATTTGATTTTATGTTCTGTTTGAACTGGCCGTGAATAGGATATCATTATGGGAAACGGAAAGAGAGCTCGAGTCCATCTTGTAGCCCTCAGGGTATATTTTGTAGAATTGGGAACTTTGAGCTACAATTCTAAGGAAAGGAAAAAGATAACTCTTATATAACATTATCTGTACCCAAAGTTCTCTAGGATCCCAGGAACAGGGGACAGAGAAGAGGTGTTTAAACTAGGTAACTAACTTTCTAATCATTTTGTGGGAAAAACATTAAAGTAACATGCTTAGAATTTTGTTTGAGGGTCTGTTTGCTAACCCTGTGTGAAAAGAAATGTGGATTCATTTATATCAGTAAAGTCAACAGCAGATGTAAATAGTCTTTTCTAATGCTACCCCTCTGCCTTTTCTTGAAACAGGGGAGAGAGATTAGAAGTGCGACTCTGGCCTAGAAAGGCTAGGTTCTTTGCATTCTCTCCCCCTACCCTTTCTTAGCATAACTCCAGAACTCCCTTCAGATGTGCAACTTCCGATAAATTGGCCTTTCTTTCTTTTTTAAATTTTATTTATTCAGTTCGTGTGGTTCCCATGCGCATGGTCTAAGCTAAATGTCGGTGTGCCTTTCCTTTTCCTCTGTGTCAGTGGTTTTGAGGTGAACTTTAGGGCCATTTCCTTGGCCCCTATAGATTTGGCAGGGTGAGCCACAGCCAAGAGAACTCAGGGCCTGACGAGTAGGCAAAAATGGGTAAGAACTTCTTGGCAGTCAGAGTCTGTGGAATTCAGTTCAATAGATGGTAAAGATCACTGTTTAGTTTCTTTTCTAAAGGAAGATTAATGGGCAAAAAGGATTTGTATGAAACAGTCGCCCCTGGGTATAGTGACCATAATGTTTTTGTCTTTTCGGGGTTTTTTTTGGAGAGGGTTTTGCCCTATGGCGTGTGTACTCTCTGGAGAGGGAGAGAAAGAGACAGAAAGGTACACAGTCACTCCCCAGGGGTGATGGCCATGCTGCAATCCTTTCTCCATTCTCTCCCTGGGATCTGGGATAAACACACACAGGAACTCCGTGTGATTTTGAAGTCCACTCAAACCGCGGTGGGCCATGTGAGAGTCCGTCTGTGTAGCCATTGCGCCATCTGCTGGTCCCCATAGTGTTTTTCTGGCATGAGGACTCTGCCTGTTTTTTGTTTTTTTTTGGTTTTTTTTTGTTTTTTTCCTTCCCCGCTTGGATATGGTCTCTATTTCTGTCATTTGTCCTAAGGAGAGTGGAACACAGGCCTAGTGACACAGGAACCAGGGGGCGCAGGGGTGATCAGGCCCACACTTGCAGTGAAACACGGGTTCTTGTCCAACACTTGGGAAGCATGAGAGTCACAGACACAGAAGAGTAGTTGTGGCAGAGCGGGGAGTTTATTAAAGGGGAGGGAAGGAAAAACAGAGCTCTCAAGAAGGGAGAGGTTCCCGAAAATAGGTTGCCAAGGAAGAATTGTGGCAAGGAGTTTTTCTTTGGTCAGGACAGGCTTTGCCTGGACTTGTTCGAGGTGGGGCCTGTGCATGTATTCCCCTTCTGGTGGAGAGGGGCACAGACTGGGTGGGTCCGATTATTTTCTTAATTTTGGAATGGGCGCGAAGGTCAGGAAATTCTTTGTCTAGAAGCTTTAGGCCATGAAGACCATTATCTTATCCTGGAAGGTGGTGGGGCCTGGAAGAAGCTTTTGTTTTGGGTCTAGGTCAGGCTGTCTAGGTCAGTTACTGAGCCACTGCTACAAGAGGTCTCTCAAAGAGGAGCTGCTTTGTCTCCATGTCAAACCTTAGCTATTTTGTAATTCCATTTTGGGCCCATACCCTAATTATATTTCTAGGGTCCCTGTCTCCTACCTCGCTAAAATTCATAAAGCTCATTGTTCAGGCTAGACCCCACGGGCTGGCATATTTTGTAGTTCTTATCAGGCCATCACTTATCTGGACTAACTTTGCTTTGGGTCCCCTGCAAAGATTGGATGAGCTTCTTCTGTCCTCGTATCTTTGAGAGCTTGATTTGTGACCTAACGGGAGTTCTCTCTTGGTCCCTGACATCTCAGAATGATTTACAAGAGGCCAGCCTGGAAAAGCTGGGAACATAGCCGTGTAAGACTTCACGGGGGCGCAGGGGTGATCAGGTACACTTTTTGTACCAAATGTGTCAGGCTCTCAATCTTTGGTCTTAATAAGGAGTCCCATCCATAAGAAGTTGTGTTGTCTCTTCTTTGTTACCGGTTAGTGGTAGGAACTATTTGTGACAGCAAGCACCTTATAGTTCCTTAGTCCTTTTGTGGGAGTGAATTTGGGGGAGAATAATTGGAGAGGAACTTCCCTAGTCTACGCCCCCTTTGGGAAGTCATTGTTCTTCATGAGGAGGCTTTTTGAATTAGGTGGTTATTGTTACTAAGATAAGTAATCCTTTGGAAATTGTTCAGGGTATCCTCTATAATCAACCCTCTTCCTCTTTTCTCACATAAACAACCTGTTGCCTACTTCCCATCTAGGAGATATAAAGTGTCTTGGACCTTATGTGGAAATTACCTATTGAGTTTGGGACCTTGAATTATAGCTGATCTAAACATGGGTTTTGCACATGTGTAACTAAAAAGGTTTTTCTGTTTTTTCTTTTTTTTTCCCTCTATCTTTGGAAGTAATCTGGATCTTGTTTTATTAGTTCAGTTATAACTTGGTTTAAATTCTATTCTCTATTCAAAACATGATAAGTTGTGTGCATGTGTATGTGTACATATTTGGGTGCAGACATTTTAGCCTTATCTGGAGGAGAGAAGGGGCAATTAAAACTGTATTCAGGGGACCAGCAGTTAGCGTTATGGCTATGTCACTGGACTCCTATGTAGTGGACCGTGGTTCGTGTCCCAGACCCAGTGTCTTAAACTCACGCTGGGTGCATGTGCGTGCGTGCCCAAGATCCCGAGAAGAGAATGGAGGAGAAAGGACTGTGGCGTGGCCATCCCCCCGGGGGGTGATTTCTCGCTTTCTATCTCTCTCTCTGTCTTTCTGGCGAACACAAGCGCCCTATAGCAAAAACAAAAAAAAACTCTCCAAAAAAAAAAAAAACTGTATTCAGAAAGAAAGAAATGTGTTCACGGAGACAAAAACAAATGTTTGCTGTTTGCCTGGATATAAACTAATGATGATAGATATGAAAAGAAATGTTTTACAGAGCCCTTGTAGATAAGTCAGCCTAATTAGAAACTGAGATGCCGGCCATCCATTTTTGAAGCCTGTTTTTCTCCTGGATCCTGTTTCTTTATGGCCATGTTTCAGTCGACTGAACCCTTTTCCTTGAATCTCTTGCTAACTGCAATTAGCTCTTTAGGACTTAAAAAAAAAATTGTTTTATGTGTGTTCTCTCCGGTCTGGAGCTCTGTACTCTCTTGGATTAAACCAATTGATCACTTTGGCTTTTGGGATACCAAGTGTTACATTTATACAGTGGGTGGACATTTGATCTTTGGTTTATGCTGATCACTGTATGAAATTGGCTTTATTTTTTGTTTTCTTTACATGCTTTTGATAGGAAAACAGTCTTAAATATCTGATTTAGTCAGACAAACTGACAACAAATGGCAATTTGCCTAGAGGAGAAGTAACTGTCTAAATGAGTCGAGGGACTCTTCGAGCCAGTCACCTGTCACCTGTCTAATGTGAGTGGATTTGTTAAGTAGTTCCTATGCCGTCTGCACACTTAGTAAAATAGTACAAGAAATTTCTACAATTTTATGTTCCCTTGGCATCCATTTTGGTCGGTGTTCTTTGTGTCCTTAAAGTACAAATTTCCTAATCTGCCTTCTCTAGAATTGAATAGAAGACTTGAGCTATATGTGCAGATAAACTAACTTGTTCCAGGTAGTGGTGCAGTTTGACTCATACTGTTCTTTCAGACTAGTGAGTTTTACAGTCTCTTGGCTAAAATTCTAAAATGAAAGCTGTAATTCTTTGACTCTGTATTATATGTGTGTGCATGTATGTGTGGTGTGTTGTATTTATGTGGATGTTCGTATGTGGTACTAAATTGATTTAAATGCACACTCTAGGTTAAAATAGGCTCAAATGCTATTCAAGTTCACATCACTTGAGTAAAATCCTTGATAAAGCTGATTTGGAATTGTTAAATAAAAATCAAAATGTCTTCAGGATTGTCACCATATGAATTAAGGGACCAAATGGCCTCTGTCCTAAAAGGCTACTTTTGGTGCCACATGGACAGTTGGGTTACAGAAAAACCTGAGAAACATTGGAGAAATCTCTTGTGTCTGGTAATTCAGTCTTGAGATGAGACTAATTCATATAGGGCTAGCTTGGTTTTCCTTGACTTCAGAGGAGAGCACCTTAAATAAATAGCCTTGTTTTCATAAGTAACTCAAAGATAATGGTTAAAAACAAATTGGGTAAATGTAAATGGCGAAAATGTTTGTAATTGAACTTGTCATCACTTTACATTTTTCTGAGTAGTTTAAGCTTTAAAGGCATGGGGACCAGCAGATGGTGTAATGGCGACATCATTTGACTGCAATGTGGGCGACTGTCGTTCGAGTCCTAGACCCAGTGGCTTAAACTCACACTGAGTGTGTGTGCATGCGTGCTCAGGATTCTGAGAGGAGAATGGAGAAGGGATTGTGGCATGGCCATCCCCCCTGGGGAGTAATTTCTCACTTTTGATCTCTCTGTCTCTCTATTTCTGGCAAGCCCATGAGCCCTATAGCAAAAACTTCTCCAAAAACAAACAAAAAAATTTAAAGGCATGCTGTGTTAAATTATATTAATGAAATGCTTAAGTTATTTCTAAATACTGAAACATTAATTATTAAGTAGAAGTTTAAGTGTTGTATATACTTTTCATCTTGTTTTATTTGGTATAAGTAAGTCTTAAATGTACCTAAATCCATGAACGGCTTTGTTGTCAGAAAATACTTCTAGATATTATAAAATGGATGTTAAAATTTCAGGATAATGG